CAAACTCCTGGGCTCAAGCAATCCTTCTGCCTCAACCTCCTGAGTAGCTGGGACTACAGGCATGCGCCACCATATCCAGCTAATTTTTTTCTATATATTTTTAGTTGTCCAGCTAATTTCTTTCTATTTTCAGTAGAGATGGGGTCTCTCTCTTGCTCAGGCTGGTCTCGAACTCCTGAGCTCAAGCAATCCTCCCACCTTGGCCTCCCAGAGTGCTAGGATTACAGGCATGAGCCACCACTCCCGGCCTTAAATTTGGTTTATTAAGTCAAAAGACTTTTTGCTACATAATTTTGGGGATGGTTTTGGCTTGGCGAGCGTCTAGGGCCATCTGTGTTTCTGGAAAAGGAAGTGAGTTACCCCTTTCCCAATGTATCACTGAATCTTGGAAGACGCCAGATAGAGCTGGGCAGTGTGTTCTCTCCACACATTGTTGGGCATCCCTAAATTCACAAGGGGCAGAGATGCCCCTTTGGAGGAAAAAGACTAGGACTGCAAGTCCTTCCCCAAGGTTCAAAGATATAAAAATGAGTTAGGATGGACTGGGATGACACTGACCAAGGCTAGATGGCATGAAAAGATAATAAAGGCCAAGCCAGGGGCAGTGGTGCACCTGTCGTCCCAACTACTCAGGAGGCTGGGGCAGGAGGATTGCTTGAGCCCAGGAGTTTGAGGCTGCCATGAGCTAGGCTGACGCCACTGCACTCCAGCCTGAGTGACAGAACGAGACTCTGTCTCAAAAAAAAAATCAATTCCAACTTCTCTTTCTCTTAGAGCCATTATTTCAGTAATACCTGGTTACATAACAAACCACTCCAAAACTTACAACTATAATGAGTTATTATTTCTCATGATTCTGTGGGTTGACTGGACTCAACTGTGTGGTTCATCTGTTCTGTGTAGGGCAGCAGAATTTTACTCACGTGACTGCCTTTGGCTGGGAGGTTGGCTGAGGCTGGAATGTGCGGGATGGTCTTGCATTCTTGGGGGCCTCCTCCATGTGGCCTCTCATCATGCGGAAGTCTGGCCCGCGCCCCGCTACGGCGTGGAGCTTCCCGGAGGACGAGCCCCAGGTTCAAGTACTTCTCGTCCAGCCTTTGCATCCGTCACATGCGCCACCTCGCTGTCCAGAGCAGGTCACACAGCCAAGCCCGGAGTCAACGTAGGTGGGACTATACAAGTGCATGAACCCCAGAAGGCATGATTCTTTGGGGACCACCCATATCACAGTCTATCATGGCCATTAATTAAATATTAACAACAAATATTCACTGTTTTAAAAGTGTTTTTATAGGTTCAAAGGATGTTAGAAGAAAGTGTTTTCACATTTATCTCCTCATTTTGCTTTAACAATAACCCTTGAGGAATAAACAAATCTAGCCCATATTTTACAAAGTTGGAGACTGGGGCTCAGAAATCTGGACACCTACCTAGAATTTACTAAGATCACACAACTAGGAAATGCTAAAACTGAAACTCGAACTCGGGTCTCGTTACTGCCAGTCCTGTGTTGTTCTGCCAAATTGCAGCTACCTCTGGCCAGTACAACCTGTGTGTTACATAGCATGATTTCCATGTTTGGAAAAATTCTTAACAAGTAAATAAGAAAATCATCCATTTAAAAAATTCTTTATTTATTCATTTTTTAATTTTGGGGGGGAAATGCACCTAATCCTCGAAGACTTCAATAAAGTTCCTGTAACGGAGCTGTTGGCGATGTTTGCTTACTCGATACGAGGCAGGTCCCAGCTAAGCCAGACGGCTATTTGGAAGTAAATCCCTGAAAGGGGATTTGTTTAGACTTCGTGGTATCCAGACTTTTTTCTGAGGCACAGAGCTTCTTTACTGCACCCCAGCCCCATGACAGAGAATTCCAGCTGAACCTCCCAGGCCCGAAGTTCCTTAAGGCATTTATACGACCGTCCAATGTCAATACTGACAGGACTTGTATTACTGGGGTGGAGTCAAGGTAGGGTGGCTTATAAATAAAAATTTTATGTTGAGAAAGCACTTAAAATTACTCTTATTATAGCTTGTAATTCCCGGATGCTTGAGAATAAATCACAAGAAGATTAGGATCAGATCTGGCTCAGAAGTGCGACCCATGGTGCTGTTGCCATGGTAATCAGTGGCCAAGGAACAGAGATCCAGGGGACCTGTAGCCTCTGCTGTCATCATGGGCTGGAATCTGCCACCAGGCCTTCCCTGGATGAGGTGCTCCACTGACGAATGGCCTCTGCTGGGTCCTGTCCCATGGTCCCATACTCTCGATTCCCAGCTTCCAAATGACATTTTTCATTAGGATTCTCAGCTGCCTGGGCCTTCGATCCATTCCCTTCACTTTCCTTGTCACTTTCCTAGTATGGAGTGAAATAAGGAAATGTTTAGGTGTGTAACCAACTACCTCTGAATTCCCCCTCTTCTAGAGACACCTGTGTAAGAAGCTTCTCCTTTAAGGAGTCTCAGGCTTCACACTCAACTACCTTCTCCTACAGCCCATCTCCCGGCATCCTAACTTCACAGGATGAGGCAAATATGAAGAAGTATCATGAGGCAAGGAGCATTAGAAAAATAAGTCAGTCTGCCTATGGGAGTTCAGTGAAATTGCAGTACACAATTACCAGGTGGGAAAATATTTTCTAGACAAGCCTAAAGTTGGAGCAACCAATATTCCCATCTAAGGGCCCGTGGTGTCTCCATCGGGGTGTCACATACCTTATTCTGTATTCTGTAGTACTCGTTTAACAAATACTGGTATTTGGGTTGAGTAAGACCGAAGAAGACAGAAAATCTTCTGCCAAGGGATTCACATGCTAAAACAAAGAACAAGAACTTGTGTAAACTGAATTAATAACTAAAGCTCAGCATCAGCGGAGGTGCTGAGAGTGAAAAAATTAATGACCAGTGTCATCTGGGTTCCAACTCTATCCAGATTCTCCGTGTAGAGAGCAGGGCGCTGGCCGCCAGCACACTCACATGTCCACTGCAGTCTGGAAGCCCCAGGCAGGGAGGAGCACTTTAACACTGCAGTTTCGGCAGGAGCCCTGAAGGCAGCTGAGTCCCCCATCCTGCCGTCTTAAGTCAAAGTCCAACATGCCAATCCCTGTGGTCCTTCTTCTCCGCACTCTCAATCCAATGTTGAGTTTTGCTTCTTTTACCTGACCTAATCTCCTATTGTTCCCTCCCTCCAAAACATGTCACCTCTTCAAACAATCTTGCCTTAACTAAAGCACAGAGCTCTCTGGGAGGAAGCATGTTTGCTGCCGATGTAGTACGGTAGAGGTACTGTTGGTATTCACCTGGGGCCCCAGTGTAACTTCCAAATTACTAAATCCCCACCCTTGTGTGAAAGTACTTATTTCTTGGGAGTCCATGCCATCTGACTAAATTGCCCCATCATTACTTTTTACTGTCATTTAAAGATTCCCTTGTCACTTTCATGTCCCCAACTTGGCCTCAGCCAGACATACTTTCATAGCTCTCTTCAGGCATCTGCATACGTCAGCATTCCCGAGTCTCCAGGCCACGTCCTTATGCTCTTCCTACACTGACAATTGTGACAACAAACTATAATTGTGGCCGTATTTACTGGTCTCTATTATCCACTGAATACTGAGCTCCTGGAAAGCACAGACTGTCATTTGTCTCTGTGTCTTAGGATACAGCGTAGTGCTGACCATGCAGTAGGCACTCAATAATGATTTTTGTAATGAATGAATGAAGATCAATATCTAAGAGCTACATTTTATATTTCCTCAGATTCTTAGTATTCCTTGTTATCATATTCACAAGATATGCAAGTTAGAAGGAAATGAGTAATTCGATGTTGCCAATCGTGTTCTAAAGAAATTGGTGAAAGTTAAGCAGAGTAAGATTTAGTATTTCATCTGTTGTGAATAGTCACATAGGCCATTCACTATGTCCCTATGAGGGGTCAATAAATTTTGTATTTATAATAGAGTAGTTTTGATCAGGGAACTTAGAACTGTGTCATATGGCAATAATTTTGTTTTTAATTTGGAAGTTTATTCAGGTGAAGAGTCAACTGAGAGAGGAGACTGGCTATTGTCCTCAAATATTTGAAACTCTGTCCTATGAAAGAGGAATGTAAACCCATTTTGTATGGTTCTAAGAAAGACAACTAAGATCAATGGGAAGAACTAAAAGTAGACAAAATTTGAACCAAAATAAGAAAGAATTTACTAACAAAATTGGCAAAAGACGGAAGCGTCTGCTGAATACGTGAGGTCATATGCCTTTGGAACCAGATCATTACTTTTTCAGAATGCCATGGAGTGGATTAAACAATTGAAAGTCCCATCTAACTTGAAGGTCTGTTAAGTATATATTTAGGAGAGAAAAAAATAATCTTAATAGTACTTACTAGAAAATGAGGTGCTTACTATTTGTCCTGCCCAAAACCGTAGGTAGGGGCCCCATGAAAGTTTAGACTGAAAAAAAGAGAAATCAAGTTAGAATAATTAGTAACAGGCATAGTGATTGCAGAGACTTTTATGCAGAGATTTCAAAATGCTTTATAATATGTTCCATTTTCTCTCTTATAGATGAGAAAACTAAGATTATCAAAATTACAAATTGCCTATACATGGATCTAGAAAGCAAACAAGGAGATCAAGTACTTAGCTTAAAACTATATTTTCTACAAACCTCGTGCGGCTCAAACTGTGATTCACTCCGTCTCTACATTCAGTAACATTGACTGAGCTTACAGGGTCTAAGCTTACGGGGTCAAGTGTTGAATTCAGGCTTTGATCCTCTTTTTCTTCCTCCTCCTCCTCCTCCTCTGTGCTATATTCTTCCATGAAGTCTCCGTCGACAAAGTGGATAATCCTTTTGGGAGTGGTCTTTTTGGAAGGTTCACTCTTCTCTAGTTCTAACTGCTGGAAACTGTCTTTCTCCATAAGGAAACAAAACAACTAGTAAATTAAAAACAGGGCACCTCAAGGCAAGTGGCCCAGAGCAGTGTTTATGTAGCTGAGTTGTGTAGTTATTTTCAATGATGATAAAGAGAGAGAGTTCAGAGGTAATTACAGCTGCGATTTCATCAGTTCTTCAAATCCAAGAAAAGACTGTTCAGTTCTGTACCAAAATGGAAGAGATTCAATTAGTAGTAAAAAATGGGAACTTTGGATCTTCCAACAAAAATGTCAACAGGATTTCCTTACCTTTTACTAACTCCACAACCCACAACCACTAGTAGGAAGGGGTCATTGCCTTGCAGAAGTTTCTCAATCATTTCAATAAATATTGAGAGGCAATCTAGAGAGTGGTGAAGAGTATAGACTTTGCACAGACAGGAGAAGATATTTGCAAAGTATATATTTGGTAAAGGACTCATTTTCAGAATATATAAAGAACAATTATAATTTAAAAGGTAAAAGGCAAAGAACTCAATTAAAATATGGGCCAAAGATTTGAATAGACACTACCAAAGATTTACAGAGGTCAAATAAACATATGAAAAGATGCTCAATGTCATTAGTCATTAGGGGAATGCAAATTAAAATATCAAAACACACCCACTACAATGGCTAACAAAGACTAACAAAACCAAGCGTTGGGGAGTATGTGAAGCAACTAGAACTCTCATACATTGCAAGCAAGAATGCAAAATGGTACAACCACTTTGGGAAACAGTTTAGCAATTTCTTAAAAGTTAAACATATAATCTTATAATTCCACATCTAGATATTTACCTGAGAGAAATGAAAACATATGCCTCCCTAAAGATTTGTATGTGAATGTTCATGGCGGTTTTATCTGTGAGCACCCCAAACTAGAAACAATGCAACTGTCCATCAGCTGAGAGATAAATAAAATGTGGTTTATCTAGTTAATGGAATGCTACTCAGCAATTAAAAGCAATGAACAGCTAATATTTACAACACTATGAATGACTTTCAAAAGCACTATGTTAAGTGAAAGAAGCCAGACATTGTATTGCATATAATTTCATTTGTGTGAAATTTTAGAAAAGGCAAAATTATAGTAGAAGACAGATCTATGTTTGCTAGACGTAAGGTGGTAGGGAGATGAGATCGATTACAAAGGGTCAAAAGGGAACTCTTGGGGGTGATGGAAATAGTCTAATAGACATGATTGTAGTGGTGGTTAACTTGATTATATACATTTGTCAAAACGAATTGAATTCTACACTTAATATTAGTTAATTTTATTGTATTTAAATTATGTCTCAATAAAGCTGAAAAGCTTTGGAGCCATACTGCCTTGATTTAAAATCCTATTACTTAATAACTGTGTCTCAGTTTCCTCATCAATAAAATAATAATATAGAATAATATAGTACCAACCTTATAAAATTGTTATGAGGAGAAATGCATTAAGACACAAAGGAATTAGAACAATTCTTAGTAAACAGTAAGTGTTTAATAGGAAATAGCTATTATTAATTACCTATCATTTATTGAATAGTGTGTACATCAGACACAATTCCAGTATTGTAAGGCCATTTATTGTCTCAATCGATATTTAACATAAGATTATATCGGCCAATATGGCAGCCTGAGCCGATGTGGAATAATTCTCCTTCTTGTTCCAGCCACATAGCAATGCTGGATAAAATTAAACAAACAAAAACATTAAATCTTACCTACACTAAGGAAGCAAGAAAAAGAGATAAAGAAATAAAGATGTATGAGAGAGAGAAAGCAAGCCAGCCTAGGTGTCAGAAATAAGAGAAAACACAAAATCTTAAGTGTGAGCTGAAGCCAAGGTGGTTCCTGGGTGTTTTGGACCCAGATACAGGCCTTGAGCCTGGAGTTGCAATAGCGATAAAGAGAGGAGAACCCAAGGCCAGGCGTGGTGGCTCACGCCTGTAATCCTAGCTCCCTGGGAGGCCGAGGCGGGCGGATTGTTTGAGCTCAGGAGTTCAAAACCAGCCTGAGCAAGAGCGAGACCCCGTCTCTACTAAAATTAGAAAGAA